CCACAGAGGGGTCTGACTCACAAAGGAGGGGCAAGAGAACCCCCCCTCACCATCAACCACCCTCGGGGGCCCTAAGGCACTTTTCTCGGCTTGCTATTCAGGAAAAAACCCACCAACCAGAACATTTGGGGGTGGGGCAGGAGACCAGTCCACACTTTATAGTCTTGTTCTTTGGTGGAACGGGCATTTCAGAGCATACAGATCTGGCTGACTTTTTACAAACGAGTTTTCTCCACATTTCTTGTAAGTGGGGCGGGGGAAAGGTTCCAGGACCCACGGCTATGTGACTCAGCAAGACTCCCCATTTCCCCAAAGACGGGGGCACCTCCCCCTCAGGAAGCACGCAAAACCTCTCTCCAAGGAAGGGCGGCATGACTCTGCACCAGCTGCTCAGGGGAGAGTGCATCTTGCCGCTTGGCGTGAGCTGTGATTTCCCACGGATTGGGGCCCACAGCCAGCGACAGCTCTTGCCTCCGCCCCACTCCCACCCACGGGGCCATTTCCATCGCCAGCCAGCCAGCGTTTGGGGGGGAGGGGTTCCACCCCATAATGCCCTGGAGGAGGATGTGTGTGTGTGTGGGGGGGTCTTGGCAGGATCTCCCCCCATGCGAGAGGGCAGGAGGGGAGGGGCAGATGGAGGAGGGCGAGAGGCCGAGAGAGAGAAAAGCCGGAAACCTCTTCTATGGTTCCTATGCCTATGGCGCTGCCCCGACGTCCGTACCTACTTGGCGCTTTTCCGGGGACAAGCAATGACTGGCAAGCGGGCAGAGAACGCGAGAAAGACAGACGAGGGGAGGGGAACAGGGAGCCAGAGAGAGAGAGAGAGAGAGAGAAAGAGAAGAAGAGTCATGCAAACAAAATGGCGCTCGGTCATCCTAGCAACGGCAAAAACTAAGCAGCCACCTGCTCTCTTCCCCGGAGGAGGGGGCCCTGGACCAGCCTGGGGGGGGGTGAGGAGAGAGAAGCGACCCCCGGGGGTCTCCTGCTGAGTAGCTGCAAGCCGGGGAAAGCGCTGGGGAGTTTTGTGGGGGCTGGCAGCTGACCTCACCAAAGAGGGTGCTCTCAAGGAGGAGGATTGGGAATCCCTGGAGATTGGGGATCTCGGTGGGATAGGGTGCCTTATAGCTCACCCCTGGAACCACCCTTCCTTTGCACCAGGGGAATGGATCTCCGCTGTCTGGACAAATGTTGTCATTCTGGGAGACCTCCAGACCACACCTGGAGGTGAGGAACCCGCCAAACTGCCTGCCCTGGACGGGGGGCGCGCGCAATGCCCAGTCAGCAGTCCCGTTGCCGGGAGGACCTGTGCCGCCGCCGCCTCCCCCTTTTGTCTCACGGTTCCACCTTCCTCTTTTGCTGCACATGAACAGACTTGGGTGGGAATCCTGCCCCGCCCAGTACGAACACGAGCTCTAGCAATGCAGCCCCTTGCTGGGGGGGGGGGACGGCTCCCCCTTCAGCCCTGTGTTCCAGCCCCCACCCCAGGTCCTCAACGCCTCCGGCCCACATTTCACTTCAGAGGCCATGCTTTGTTCCAGTCCCCTCCCCCTGGCTGCCCCACGTGACCTTGCCACAACCCCGACCCTCCCCTTATTGTAGGGCCCAGGTGGGAACCTCAACGGCAGCCCGCAGGCCGGAACCAAGCCACAGTTTGCGGAGCTCTGGCGCCATCGTGTGGCTACTTCGAAGTGCGCACTCTGAAATAATGAGTTTGGAACCCAGGGCCATCTGGGGGGGG